TGACAGGTCCCAGAGGTTTACAGCAGGACATGGCCCTGGTCTGGGCAGGCAGGGAAGGTTTCCTGGAGAAAGTGATGGTCAGATGGCACCTGACGGATGAGCAGGAGAGGGCAGGTGGGAGAAAAGCATGAGCATTTGCGATAAGCACGCACATACATGCGATTTCAGTAGTGATAAATTTCATTTCCATTACTTAATATGACCTGCTCCTTGGCACAATGCAAAAACTATTAAGTGTGTACACTTGAACAGTGTCACCTACATGGCAAATGGATTCACGTGTATGTTGACAACCTCTAGGATACATTAACTGGCAGTCTACAGAAAGACTTAAGTTCTTTTACAAACTCAATAGGGGCCCGTGTTCTTGTTTCCACTAATTTGCTGAGTAAGTAACTGGAAAACCCAGCCTTCTATTTTGAGATCTTAAATCTGGTCCCTTCAGCAAATAGCTTTATCAATATTTTAAAGTCATACTTGGCTTCTGGGGAGTAGCATGGGGTTTTCCTCCCTCCTCTGTTCCCTTCTGTGATGTCAGATGGCCAGTCTGGCAACACTGGCCTTTCTCCCCTGAGAGCGATGTGCATGCCAAGAGAAGGGGATGGCCCAGGTGGAGGAGCTTTCATATGAGCCCCTGATCACTTATTCCACCCAAGAGACCCTCCCGCCACTCCACTCCCACCACCTTGATTTTACCATTGACCCTCAACTTTTTCTTTTGGATTCTTATGAGCTCAACCTAATGAGGGTACCTTCCTCTTTCTGATGTAAGTGGCTCTAAAGTGACTATAAATTCTTTTCCACTAGGCATCTGACCCCGAGGAGGCCTCTTCACAGCAGACTAGGAGGACCCACACATCTGGGTAGATCTGGAAGTTTGAGGCCATTTGAGGTGCACGGTTAGCTTGAATGAGACCCCCTGCCTTCAGGTCCCTACACACCCCAGTCACCTCTCCAGCATAGTAGTAGGGCCCACAGATCCCAAAAGAGGCAGATAACCGTTCTTTTCTCTGGAAATGTTAATCCTCTCTAGAGAGTTCTGTTTATGCTGGAAATCCAAGATTTTGCAAGTGAACATGATAAGACCTTCTGAAGTCTGAAGGTGACTCTAATAAGTGCAGAGCTTCAACCCTTAGGAGGGTGGTGATGGGCGGTGGGAACTGGGGCACACAGTGCCTCCCTTTCATTCGTCTCCATAGGTAGTGATTTCCCTGCTCAACTCAAGAAAAGCAGCTTCTCCCTCACCTATTAAAAGGAGAAAGATAGGTCTTTTTAATTGAAAGAAAGGCATCACCAAATTCTTTAATTATAGGCTCAAAAAGGCTTTGAGCTCATCTTGCATCTCCTTGGCTTTCAGAAGGGCAGCATTAAACCTTCCTAAAGAGATAAGACTCAACCTATTTTTAAACATCCCCAAAGAGGGCATTCTAGTCTTCTGTTCCTTTGTCAGACAGGGGAATTTTTTCCCTTTCTAAACTCACCACAGGTGAACTCTTCCTATTACTAACCTGAAGCCTCCGCATTAGAGTTTGGCTTAGTCTGTTCCAGGAAAATGGTGAGCAGCTGGTCACCATTAGCCTTTTCTAAACTATACTTCCATCTGTCCATCTGTAAGAAATGATAGCAATTAATTGGGATGTTTAGATGCAAATGAATAAACTGCATTTGAATCACGCAGGGATCAAAGCCTGTCCCCTTCTTGCTCCATATCCGTATCTTTTGTTACCATCAGCAGCACTGTCAACATTTCTCCCTTCCCCATCTCTCTTACACATTGAAAAAAGTACACATTGAAAAAAGTGGACACATTCACACTGGTAAGTGCTTAAAACACTGCTTAAACAGCCTGTTACCATTCAGATGCTGTTGATAGATCGGAGAGCCATAGTTAAGAACTGACTCTGGAGTACACTATGCTTTAATCCAAGAACTCATTTTATAATTTCCCTAGACACCTAGCTTTTTGCTCATCTGTAGAATGGGGACAGTAACAGTTTCGACCTCAGGGGATTGTGGCTGAATAAGTGAAGTCCAGAAAAGTCCTTAGCATGGTGCATGCTGCCCTCATCACTCTCACTGCAGTGGTGACATAGTTGGCAGTGATTGTTGTAGCCTCCTTGGAGAAAAAGGACCTTTGGAGGCATTAAACTAAGCCCCTACTCCAGAAGGCAAGAGTTTAAGAACTCAGGTTTAAGAGGCACAGATATGCAAGGAGAGTCCTCCAGGTGAAAGATGAAGGGGGAAAAAAAAAAAAAGACAAAAACGCAAATAAAGAAAAAAAACCACAAGGAGAGAGCAGAAGCAGACATGTAATGGGGAGAAAGGTAGAAAAGAACACAAGGAAAAGAAGAGGAAAAGGGACAGAAGCGTCAAAAGGTGGGTACAGAAGAAAAGCCAGCAGAGGGAGAAATCAAAGAATTACAGTCAGAGACCAAAACATGAGAAAAGACTGCATTGACAGCTTGAGCCAGGTACCAGAAAAAGCAAGCTGTGGGAAAGGAAACAAAAATGTACGCAGACGTGGGGAAACGGGACAGGAGAGACGGGGTGGGGGGGTGTAGAGGAAATAAAAAGGATAATAATAGGAAGACTTCATGTGCAGTCACAGGCTCTATCTCTTTAAGGGATGGGGCTTTTACAGCCGCAAGCAGCCGTCCTTGATCGCCTTTCCTCCTCAGTCAGTGAGCTGTGGAGTCTGCCTCTGACTTGGTCTCCCCGAGGTTTGCCTGACCAGATGTCTGCCTTGTGTCCCGTGAGGCCAAGATGCAAGGAGTCCGTCTCGATTTCATTTTTGGAAAATCCTCTCGCCATCGTGTTCAGCAGAAAATATAACTCTGGAGCCAATATTATCTACACCCTCAGCCTGTTCCACATAATCAGCAACCTATAAGGGAAGGCGGTGCTGTAATTTAAAAAAAAAAAAAAATCTTCGCCTTTACGGAATCCCTCTTCCCCCCTTTTGGTCAACTAGGAACAAAAGGACAAACACCTAACATACTGCGGGGATATGCCGCATGTAGGGCTCCGAATTGCCCTCCCCACCAAAGACAATGGTCGTCCAGTCACCTGGAAGCTAGAGAGATTGGATGGAGTTTTCAAATAAAATCAACATAAAAAAAAAAAAAAAGACGGGTTAAGAATTCATTATTAAATTGTTTGGTGCCCAAAAAAAAAAAAAAAATTCACCCTATTTGAGGAAGCCGAGCGACCTTAAAAGGCCTTCTCAGGGTCCAGGCGGACTGTCGGGGAGCGTGTCCCCACGCTGGGGTGAGCTGGGGCCGCCGCCGGAGTCACGAAGCCAGACGCGCGCGTCTCCGCCCAGGACACGGGAGACTGCGGCGCGCGCCCCGGCCCCGGCCCCGGCGGCTCCCGCGGCGGCAGGGGGGGGGGGTTGGGGGTGGGGGAGACGCGACTCCTGCAGGCACGTGACCTCCCCGCCGCCGCTTCTCGCGACCCAGATCCGTGCCCCGCACCCGCGCCCCGAGGACGGGCAGGGGGACACGTAGCGGTCGCCCCAGTCCCTGCCGCTCCCGTGCCCGCGCCTTGGCTGTGCTGCTCCCCCTGGCTCAGCAGCCGCGGGCATGCAGGGGTGTCTCGGGGATGACTCGGGAGAATGTGGTTCTTACTCCTGGCACAGAAAGGAAGGACCCTTCTCTAGCCGCTTCTCTGTAGCCAGATCACTGTGCGTCCTCTCCAGCCCCTCCCGGGCTGCCGCGAGCGGCGGGGCAGCAGGGCGGGAGACCCGGGACCTGCCTTGCCCCGGGCCTCGGAGGGCCCTGTCTGTCGGCGGCGCCGGGGGCGAGGCGCCGCCCGGGCACCTCCGGGAGCTCCCACTGGCTGTGAGTCACGCTCCGGGGCCGGCGCCGGGCAAGGTGGCCGGGCAGGGCTGGCCAGCGCTTCCCCGCGCCGTGCGCCCAGGCTGCAGGGCGAGCGCGCGCGCGCACGGGCTCCCCGCGCGGTGATGTGGCAGCCGCGGCAGGTCGGATCACGTTGCTGGCCCTGTGCTGGTACCGTCTGCGCCCGGATTGAGGAGGGAGGCTTCGGAGGTGCCAGCGGTAGTAAACGTGGGCTCTGCGCACTCCCCGCGCCGCTTATCGCCGGGGGGGGGGGGTGCGGGGGGCGGGGGCGCACGCAGCGCCGCCCGAGGCGCGGGGGGCGGCGGAGCGAGGCTGGCGGCGGCGGTGCGGCATTGCCTCTCCGCGGCGGCCCCTCTCGTGCGCCCCGCGCCGCCCCCGCCCTCCCCGGCGCGATCCTCCGGGAGCACCAGAGGCCCCGAACGTCGTCATCTGCTGCTGTGATTAGTGGCACCGCAATTCCGGCTGCTGCTGGAAGTTTGGGTGGCCCAGGGACGCCGTGTCGCCGAAAGACATTTGGATTGCGACATTCTGACCCAGTGACTACATAGTCATTTCTCTTCAGCCCTTCGGGGAGCGCATTCCAAGTGGCCCCTTTTCGGGGCAACCTCCCAGCGGGGCCGAAGGGTCCCCCGCCCCGCCCCACCCCAGGCCACTGAGCGGGGAGCAAACAAGTCTCCAGATTTTCCTACGGGACTGAAGTTTACCCACCGCGAATTCGCTTTCTCTGGTCCAAACCAACTGCACGGTCGGTGGAAAAGCAGGAAAAAAAAAAAAAGAAAAAGAAAAGAAAGAAAAAAGGGGAAAAAAAAATAAAGCCACGTTCACGTTCCTGCACCGTAATGACGCGCCGGCGAAGCCAGGGAGGCGCATTTCCAGGCCGAGGAACCCCCGGCCGCCCCGCACCCCGGCGCCCCTCCCCCACCGCGGCTGGCCGCGCCGCTCCGGGAAGACGAAGCTCTTGGCCCGAGTTGTTTTTCCTTTCCGGTGGCCCCGATCAGGTGTCCCCGCCCGCCCGCCCGCCGCGCGCCGCCCCCGCGCCCGCGCCCCCTCCCGGCCCGGCCCGGCCCCTCCTCCCCCGCCCCCCTCCGGGCTGGACCGCGGATGGTACGTTCCGCACGTGAGCTGGTGCTGGTCTGGCCGGGGACGCGCGTGCCCTGTGGCCAAACACTGCCCGGAGTGAGAGCGAACTCCCGGCGCAGCGGGGCCGGCCGAGTGTGCGTGCGTGTGTGTGCGTGTGCGAGCGGGCGGCGAGCGGGCGCGGTGGGAGGGGGACCAACTGCTTCACACTTTGAACACTGCACTGAAGAGGGAGAGGGAGAGAGAGAGAGACTGGAGACGCAGAGATTCCCCCCCAAGAGCTCTCAAGGCTACGGTCCCACAGATTCTAGGACAGAGCCCCCAAAAATCGAAACAGAGGAAACGGACAGCGGTGGAACATGGACGAAGGAATTCCTCACTTGCAAGAGAGACAGTTACTGGAACATAGAGATTTTATAGGGTAAGGTGCACGCACCCTTGCCAGTATCAGTCTCGGCTTCAGTTTGATTTTTTTTTTTTTTTTTAATGCTGCTGCTTCTCCAGAAAGTGGTATGGAGCGGGCGAGGGCAGAGCCCCTCCCCGAATGGGTGCCTGATGGTGATTTCTGTTTTGCAGACTGGACTATTCCTCTTTGTATATGTGTAAGCCCAAAAGGAGCATGAAGCGAGACGATAGCAAGGTAAGTGTAAGTTTCCGATGTTCCCCATAACCTGCCTGGATAGTTAATTGGGGCTATTGATTTCACAGCGGAGCTCTGCCCGCAAATATATTCCAGCCCCTGAGCTTCCCCAACTGTGAATTTTAAGTGGTTTGCTGGATACTCTCAGGGGGAGATTAAACATCATACCTGAATTTAAATTGCATTTCGGAAGAACCCAGAGGAAAAAGATTTCTTGGGCATAATGTATCGCATAGTATGTCTTTGGGAGCGGCGGGGGGTGTTGTTCTAGCCGGTAAATGAATGTTCAGCTTATTGTTTTCTCTCTCCCATGACTCTCGCGTATTAAGGATACCTACAAATTACCGCACAGATTAATAGAAAAGAAGAGAAGAGACCGAATTAATGAGTGCATCGCTCAGCTGAAAGATTTACTGCCTGAACATCTGAAGTTGACAGTAAGATGCACATTTTCATTCTTTGCTGCTCTCCAAGGGCATGTTAATCACCTGGTACTACTCCCAGAGATTTAAGAATAAATGTAAATAGCAGATTCTTCCCAAGTTGGGCTGGAGTCTGGAGTTCCCCCCCAAACTCAAGAGTAGGTGTTTCCAAGACCAGGCATCCTGAATAGCCTGTCTGGGGAAGGCTCCGGAAGCCTATAGGACCAGTCCTTTCCGCGTGCCGGCTCGAGCTGCTGTGCTCGCGGATAGCCCGCCGAGCCCAGTGTGTGCTTTTAAGTAATCAAGTGCCCCGTTCTTTTTCGCACCGTTGCAGACTCTGGGGCATCTGGAGAAAGCCGTAGTCTTGGAATTAACTTTGAAACACTTGAAAGCTTTAACAGCCTTAACCGAGCAGCAGCATCAGAAGATAATTGCTTTACAGAATGGTAAGTCCGATCAGGGAGGCCGACCCACCCTCGAGGAACCCGGGCAGCCCCCCCTCGCCCCCCCGCGGCCGCGTGGGGGCTCCTCCCCTCCCCCCCCCGCCCTCCGCGGGCCCGGGGCGCGCTCGCGCTGGTGAGATTGCCGATCCTTCCCCTTCCTTGGAGAGCGCCCATGGCCCGCAGCATCCTGGAGGCTTTTGGCGGCGCCCGGAGGAATCCGATTTTTATTTAAAGTGGCGGCTGCACGCGCCTCGTCCCCGGGTTCCTCAGCCGGGAGCCGAGCGCCCCCCTGCTCCCCGCGCCCGCCTCCCCCTGCCCTCGCCAGGCAACCGGTGGATGATATCACTGAGCGCCGCGGCAGAGGCGAGGTCCCCGTAGTCGGTGCAGGGCCCACGTGACAGGCAGATGTGTTCACGTCGGTATTTTGCTTCTTGCCTCCGCTCCTCTGCCCCCCCGCCCCCCTCCCCATCCTAGGGGAGCGAGCTCTGAAGTCGCCCATTCAGTCCGACTTGGACGCTTTCCACTCGGGATTTCAAACCTGCGCCAAAGAAGTCTTGCAATACCTCTCCCGCTTTGAGAGCTGGACGCCCAGGGAGCCGCGCTGTGTCCAGCTGATCGGCCACTTGCACGCCGTGGCCGCCCAGTTCCTGCCCGCCCCCCCGCTGCTGACTCAACAGGTCACGCTGAGCAAAGGCACCGGCGCGCCCGCGCCCGCCGCCCCCGCCGGCTCCGCGGCCGCCGCGGGGCTGGAGCGCGCGGGGCCCAAGCTGGAGCCGCTGGCGCACTGCGTGCCGGTCATCCAGCGGACTCAGCCCAGCGCCGAGCCGGCCGCCGAGCACGACACGGACACCGACAGCGGCTACGGGGGCGAGGCCGAGGCCCGGCCGGACGCGGGCGCGAGCCGCGTGGCCATCAAGCAGGAGCCCCCCGGGGAGGACTCGCCGGCCCCCAAGAGGCTGAAGCTCGACCCCCGCGGCGGCGGCGCGGGCGCGGGCGGGGGCGGCCCGGGGGCGGCGCGGCGGCGGCGGCCGCGCTGCTGGGGCCCGACCCGGTGGCGGCGGCCGCGCTGCTGAGACCCGACGCCGCCCTGCTCAGCTCGCTGGTGGCCTTCGGCGGAGGCGGGGGCGCGCCCTTCGCGCCGCCCGCGGCCGCCGCCCCCCTGTGCCTTCCCTTCTACTTCCTCTCGCCCTCGGCCGCCGCCGCCTACGTGCAGCCCTTCCTGGACAAGAGCGGCCTGGAGAAGTACCTGTACCCCGCGGCCGCCGCCCCCTTCCCGCTGCTGTACCCCGGCCTGCCCGCGGCCGCCGCCGCCTTCCCCTGCTTGTCCTCGGTGCTGTCGCCCCCGCCCGAGAAGGCGGCCGCCGCTGCGCTGCGAGCGCACGAGGGGGCGCCCCCGGGGCCGCGGCTCCCCGCGCACCCGGCCGGCCGCGCCCGCCTGCCCTTCGCCGGCGCCCGCGAGCCCGGGAAGCCGGAGGGCGCCGCTCAGGAAGACCCCTCGCCGCCGGGCGCGCAGAGCCCCTGAGTCCTGGCCCTGCCCTCGAGGGTTCCCGCGGAGACCCCCGTTCGTGAGCGCCGACGCCCCTCGCGTTTCCAAGGGAGGAAGCGTACCAGATGCACGGCCGGCTTTTTACGAAACAACACAAACACAGGTGGTGTGTGCGCATCTGGCGTCCCTGTTCTGCTCACCCCTCTCCCCCTGCCCCCCGCACACGCTGACACCCCCCCCCCCGCTCCAACCCCACCTGCTGTAAAAGAACCTCCACGGTAGCTCTCCAGGCTGTTTTCTTTAAAGAACGCCCCCTCGCCCCCTCCCCCTCCCCAGCCCCCAAGTCTTGCCGGCCTGTAGGCCCAGTTCCATTCTCTTTGAAAATAGCGAACATGTGATCTTCGAGAAAGCCAGGGGGCGAGCCCGGTGGGTGAGCTCCTGGAGCCCCGGGAGGACAGGCTGCTGCGGAGTCCGCCGGAACCGCAAGGGAGAGGTCACCTGCCTGGGGCGCAGAGCGGGCCTGGCCCGCCTGTCAGCCCGCCCGCCCGCCCGCCTGCTTCGGGAGGCTGTCCACCAAGGGGAGGAGGATCTTTTTGGAACTGAATTGACGCTTCAGTATTTTCTCACGGTCACCTTTTCAAGAGGCGTTCAAAAGAAGGGGGATGCAGTCGTTAACGTTGCAACCTATTCGGAAGTGGTTTGAGTGGCATCCCTTAGTAACTTGCACTTGTTTAAAAAAGCCACGGAGTTGGGCCCTCCTCAGAATTAAAGTCAGGGAAGGAGATGGATTAGGAGGCCAGAGTCATTCTTAGGACATCTGCTAGCACTTTACTGAGAAATTGACCAGGAATCACTTGACTCATCTTAATTTCACGCATACATCCATATATAAAAAGTGCATCTGTACTCACCCTGTCATTATTTAATCCATCGTGGTCCCAAGTTTTTATAATTTTGTTGTTCAAAGAAAAAAGGAATGTGCACTGAACTTAAACAAGGAAACAAGTCCAAACTGATTTATCCTACTTGCTGTTAAATCACAAAAGTGGAGGAGAGCATTGAACTGGTCAGTTTTGATTGGAAATCCTGAAAAGAGGTGGAATGCAGACCTGTCAGGCCTTCCTATCTCCAAGTCTATGTATTTTCTGGAGACCAAACCAGATACGGATAATCACAAAGAAAGCTTTTTAAATAAGGCTTAAACCAAGACCTTGTCTAGATATTTTTAGTTTGTTGCCAAGGTAGCACTGTGAGAAATCTCACTTGAATGTTATGTAAGGGGTGAGACACAACAGTCTATGAGTGAAAAAAATAGCTGGGTCTTTTAGTCAGTTTGGTGCATTTGCTGCTGCTGTTGCTGCTGTTTGCCTAAACGCTGTGTTTAAACAACGTTAAACTCTTAGCCGACAAGGTGGCTTTTATGTACATAGTTGTTAATACATCCAATTAATGATGTCTGACATGCTATTTTTGTAGGGAGAAAATATGTGCTAATGATATTTTGAGTTAAAATATCTTTGGGGGAGGATTTGCTGAAAAGTTGCACTTTTGTTACAATGCTTATGCTTGGTACAAGCTTATGCTGTCTTAAATTATTAAAAAAAATAAATAAATACTGTCTGCAAGAAACCAGCTGGTTGAGAAAAGTTTAGTATGTGAAGATTTAAAGTAGAAATTATCTTTATATTCTAGTATTTTCAGCACTCCATAAAATCTATGATCTAAATATTGCCACCCTATTTTGTGATTTAAACATTCTTACTAAGGAATAAAAACTTTAATATACATTATGAGATTGTCTAATAATTAAACAGACAGGATAATTGATGTTCAATTCATTTAAGATTTCTGACTATATGGGGAATCACAGCCACTCAAGGGGCTCAGATGTACAGTTTCACTTGTCCTTGGGTTGATCCTACGCAGTTTCAGTGGCTTGCAAGCCTGCAGGCTCTGGCTGGGTCTCCTTGCTTGTATCCTGCCTGCTCTGTATCTTAATGAAAAGTGCAAAAGAAAACCCTAGCAATCCCGTGCACTTTTCATCTTTGATACCATATAATCTCTGTGGGATGGTCTGGTGTTTCTTTCCCACTGGGTCCTGTATAAATTGCCACTTAAGTGTGCTGAAGTTCTCAGTATATGTTAGCTTCTTAACCTTAAAAATAATCCTATAGGGGATGACTTTTTCATGGAACTCAAGGAACAGAAATAATTCTATCTAGACTTTTCTCAAATTTATAATCAATTTTGTGATTTGATAATAAGTGTGTGGGGAGCTTCAGCTTTTGGTTTCAATCATGTTCTTTGCCAAACCCTTGATCTTTGAATGGTTTTGAAATGACAGTCAACAATTTTATGACATGTAGAAAAAGTGCTCCCTCTGCTGACTTTATGACAACCGAACTGCAAGTCAGTTCAGGGGAATGTGGAGCCAGAAGGAACCTCAGAGATCAGCTGAGCCAGCCCCCTACCTTTTATATAATACAAGGGAAATGAAGCCCAGAGATATCAAATATCTCCCCAAGGTCACACAGCTTCCCGGAGCCAGCACTAAGGGCCAAATTGATTGTGTCTCACAGTTGGTGAGCTGCTACGTCCCACTGCAGATACTGAACCACGTAAACAATTTGATTGGGCAGCACTCATGAAGCATCATGAATAAGCCACAGGAAGTAAGGAACTAAATTAGTACTAGAGAGGTAGTTAAGATTTTTGAGTGTTGCAATTTAGTAAGCGTCAGAAAAATTCTATGTTGTTAGAATATTTACAGGAGAAATAGCATAGAAAATATTTTGAGTTAAATTTTAATGCCATATTACAGTAAATTAGGTTCATAACTAAAAATACTGAAAGTAAATCTGATGATAAGAAAGCGTTTTAGCAGGTGTATGATTTTGGTATAGTAAAATGAAAACCCTAGGCTTGGATCAGATTTTATAGGCCAGTTATTTTCGTTCAAATACCTATATACTAATATGGTAATGAGAAAAATAGTACAGCCTGATTGCAAACTAATACACTCTGCTGCATCTGGAAAATGTTACTTGGTCATTATTTCACCTTAATGAGTTAATTATGATTTGAGTCACTATAATTTGCTAAGGAGGATTCTATACATGCATTGGTGAACTTCTGGCCAAAATGCTATGTTGTATTTGTGATTTTTCCATTTAAGTCAATTATGAATCTTGAGTCAATAGTATACTACATGTATTACACTATTATATTACATATACTATACTACATAATTTTCTTACATGGACATCTCCGCAAACTTTATTTTGAAGTGCTAAATGGCCTTTTCTCCCCAGAGAGCTAAGCGCATCGTTAAGACACTTTACACGATGTTTTAATAGCTATTTTTAAGTATAACTGGAGTTTCAGTGCCTAGTATTTTGAAAATTCTTTTTCATTTACTTCTGTACTGACCCTTTAGGCCATAACTTTGGTTACTGCCCTCTACTGCGATTTGTTCCTAAGTACTTGAAAGCAGCCTCAGCCTGTTTTTGTGTCACAGGTCAATTCTGACCCTCTCCATGGCAGGGCAAAGGCCAATTTAGATCTTGGGAAAATGTGGCTGGCCAGACTAAGACCTTTTATATAAGACAGAAATGAACAGAACCTTTATGAATGAATGAAAGCTATGGTAATGCCAGTGGCTGTACCACTGTGATAATATTTGACTTTAGAGAGTAATCTCATGTTTTTTATTCAAAAAAATTCTTAATCTATTGGACCTTTGATCAATATAGTTAAGTGATTACACATAGAGATGTTGCTTTCTGCAAGTTTGAGTGGAAATACAACTTCATGCTAAAGTCCAGGGTAAATTCCGTTTGTTCACAGATATAGGGGATTCACACAAGAGTTATCCCATATTTCCTGTGGTTAAGATGAGATTTATGCTATACAACATGTGTACCATGTACTTTAAAAATATGCTTGTAGAAAGGAGTTGGGTGGTTGTCTTAAGATTGATTTCTTGTTCTTGCTCAGTGACACCATGTTGAAAACGCCAACCAAATGTCAACATACATTTTAAAAAGTTGATATTTAAAAATTCAGTGATGCCCAATTTAGCCGACCTCAGACTAATACACCGTCCCTGGGAGAGTGGCTCAGAAAACTGATGCTTCTGTATGTTCCAGTGCCAGCATAGCTTCTCTCTCTTTTTAAAAGTTATTTTAGTGGCAAGTCACACATATTCTCCAGAGTGTCATATACATTCTTAGGGGAGAAAAAATGCCCTATCTGAGCTAACCTTTCTCCCTAATGCAGGGTCATCTTTACAAACATCAAGCTTGCACTCTGCACGTCATCTGGGGGTGCTGGCACCTGCACAGAATTCTTGTTGCGTTTCTACATCTGCTTTTTATAGGTTGTCCAGCCTCTTCGCTCATGGTCAGCTGCCAGCTGTCACTTCTTGATGCGTCAGGGCGTCTGCTTCCAACTCTTATCTAATTTGCTACCTCCAACTTACTGTGTCCTGGGATACCAAGTAACCAAGCCACACCCAGTTGAAATGTGTCTAAAATTAGCTTATTTAGGCTCTGACACAGTAGGTGAGGGGCACTTCTTCAGTGCAAATTTGCAGAATCAGTGTCTCCCACTCCCCAACTTTTTTCTCCTAATTTTCCTTAAGCTTTTTCACATGCTCAGCAAATTTCATATCGGCACACTTGTAAAAGCTGTCAAATTCTTTACATGTACATACATGTATTTTTTCATCATTTTAGTACACTTAAAAAAGCAGCCTGCTAATGGTGATTCCCCAACCAGCCACAAAACTGAGAAATTTACATGGTAAAAACAAATGATTTGACTGGATAAGCCTTTCTTTCTCTCAGGTGACTAGGACTAGGGGAAAAGTGATTCTACCCTTTGACTCATGTGTGACCCTGGCCCCTGCTTTAGGTATCCTCCTCCCCTTCTGGGATTTGGAAATCTTGGGTGGTAGCCAAAGTATCCTGTGGGCCTGGCAGGGCCACCACCGTGGAAGCCCAGGCTCTGCTTCTACTTGTAGACACACCCATCGAGCGCCTTAGGGGAGAGGTTGAGCACTGCCTGTACAGTGTTCTCCTTTTCTGCTTGAGCCTGTGGATCCTAGATTCTGGGTGGTGCTGTGTTAAGTGCAGGAGAATAGAAGCACTCTGAGGATCTCAATGTGTAGTGGGAGTGACAGGCCCATTTAAAATAAATTACAATGCAACACAGTAAGTGCTATGCAGGGG